CCCCCCCCTCCCCCCCCAACCTTTCCGGTCTTCTTACACCTTACTCCCCCTTCACATACTCTTCCATCTAGTGATGCTGGCCCTTGCCGTTCCATGAACAAGATATTTCATCTCTTGGCTCCAGGTATTTTCCTTGACTGTTGCCCATGCCTACAGTATTCTCTGTCCTCTGCTCTGACTACTCACTTCCCTGGCTTCCTTTAGGTTCCCACTAAAATCTCACCTTCTACAAGAAGCCTTTCTTGATCTCCCTTAATGCTAGTACTTTCCCAATTTCTCCTGCCTATAGCTTGTTTGGACATAATTGTTTGCATGTTATCTCCCTCCTTAGACTAAGAGCTGGGACTGGTTATTTATTTTGAACAAGTTTTGGCCCTCTTGTTATATGTTCAGCACCAGGTACAATTCCAGGCACATAGTAGGTGCTTAATGTTTATTGATTCACTGACTGAAAACAGGGAGATATCCTCAGTAAAGGTGTTCCCCACCATGGTGGAGGAGCCTTAGGGCAGAGTCCCAGGTGAAAACAGACTCCCTTGTGAATAGTCATATCCTTCAGGTACTCTTGTTTGTGGATGACATTGTGCTAGAAAGTCTCTAGTATTCTCCTCAAAGTAGTTTAACTTCAGCATTCACACAGGAAAAATCAAGAACCTAAAAGGCTGTCCTTTGCCCAGATTATGACATGCAGTTAGATAAAAAAGATTTTAGGGGCAGCTAGGTGGCACAGTGGAAAGAGCTGTGGCCATAGAGTCAGGAGGACCTGAGTTCAAATCTGGCCTCAGACACATGACACCTACTAGCTATGTGACCCTGGGCAAGTCACTTAACCCTAATTGCCTCACAAAAAAAAAAAATGATTTTAGCCACTAGGAAAAACAGTACAGGTGGTTGGTGAGATTGGTCCTGAGTTAAGCAGGAGGAGGAAAAGGAATTAAATTGCCTTCAGGAGACCACAGAGCTCCTTTAACGATCCCAAACACCTCCCAGAAACAAAAGCTTACTTTTTCTATATCTAAAGGTGATATTATATAGTCGTGAGATATGGACCTCAGCAGTCTCAACATTTAAAATCATTATCCTGCAGGTGGCAGTGGAGAGGCCCATAAAACATAAGCAGCAGGAGTCAAAGATGTCATCAGGGAAATGGCCAATTGAAAGAGAAGACAGGCTGGTTGAGTAGTGTGAGAGCTGGGAGAGCCTGCCTTGCTTCTGGCCTAGCAGTGTCAGGCGACAGTGAGCAAGGTCCGGAGCCCCAGGTGGGAAGATAGGGATGGGAGCTTCATAGGATGGGCCACACGTGGCATCACTGTGGAAGAGAGCCAGATCTCTTGTTCCATTGGAATGTACTGTCCTGGCAGTTGATTTTGTGAACAGTTGTTTTTGATCACAAAATGCCACCTAGACACCTCACCAGCAACTCTAATTCAGCATGGCCAAAACTTTTCCCAAGCTTCCCATATTCATCTTCCTTCCTCCCTGATTCTTCCTGACTTCACTATAATCATTCACAGTCTCCTTGGAGAGAATAGGAGAAAATCTTGGCATTTGTTGTCATTCTTCTTTCATTTGTCACATCTAATCAGGCCTTGGTGGTTCAGGCCCCCTATGGCCCCTTCTCTGTTCCTCCCCTTGCTTCTCCCATCACTGACGTCCCAAACTGAGCTTCTCCACCTCCTCCAGTCTTTCCGTCACCTGTTGCTCATGGAAAACATGCAGGCTCTTTGCCTGTCATTCAGAGTCTTCCCCTGTCCAGCCCTACCTTGGTCTTTCCATCCTTAGCCCATATTACTCCCGGTTATATGCGCTGTATGAAAGGTACAAGTAACAAAGTAGTTAGAGAGCTGGCCGCAGGTCCTGCCTCCTTTCCAGATTGGCTGTGTGACCCCTGGAAGTGAAGTCTCAGTGCTCTAGACAGTGCCCTGAGGCTGGGCGCTGCAGAAAATGTGTGACCTGCATTGACAGAGGGAGTGTCCTATACCAGTGAAGTCGTAAGTCCAGTCCTAACCCTCTCCCCACATACTCTGTTCTTTAATCAAACTATAATTTTCTTTGTCCTCCAAATACATTTTTCTGGCACTAATTATTCTTCTCCCCCTCGTGATTCTTTAAAGCTTCAATCAGATGCCATTTCTTAGGGCAGCTGGGTGGTGCAATAGATAGCACTCAAGGCCTGGAGTCACGAATACCTGAGTTCAAATTTGACTCCATTTCCCTCCTCTTTAAAAATGAGATAATACCTGTTATTGTCCTACCTACCAGGGTTATTTTGAGGATCAAATGAGAACAATAATTGTAAATGCTTAGTAGAGTACCTGGCACATAGTAAACTCTATATAAATTGTTGTTGGTATTGTCATTATTATCATTAGTTGTTGTTGTTGTTATTTTTCCGTCTGCTTTCCATCATTGCCTATAGGATATTGATATCTTGTTGAGTTTATTTTTCTCCTTCACAGTTCATAAGATAGAACCATTTATCTTAAAATTTCTATTGTGTATTATTGTCTGTTACATAGTATGTATATCTTATATGAGGATGTGGGCCACATTTTATTCAAGCTTTGCCTCCCCAACCAGCCCCTAGTGCCCTGCTTCACCCAGAGGGACTTTTTCATTGGCATTTAATGCATCCAAGGCCCTTGCCCCACCATGGCAGAGGCTTGAGAAGCTTCTTGTCCTGAGAGTGCTGAAGCAGCAAGTGCCAGTATCTTACGGTCTTCTTCATACCACCTGGCAGCCTTGGTATGCTCCTCAGGAAACCCCATCCATCTTTGCATGGTTTATATAGCCACAGTCAAGACCAGCAAGGGAGCCGTGTTCAGATGGACTTCTACACTGGGAGCAGCAGCCTTGGAGGAGCGCAGTAGAGTGAGGGTGCAAGGGAATCCCAGATGAGGCTCCCTGTATCACCTGCCGCCTAGATACAGCATGGGCCAGATCATAAGGACATGCTTTGACCAGCACCCAGTGAGATAGTTGGATTTCATGCAAAACATGCTTCTCCGGCCCCATTCTTCCATTCCAGCCATTTTCCTGCTGTCTCTGGGCTTCCTAGAACCACAGTTTGAGCAGGTTCAGCCAGCTTGGCAAAGGGGTTGGTTTGAAGAATGATGCCAGGAATGATCGAATAGGTTCAGCAGGGGAAAGGGGTACCCATGCTGCCCAGATGGTGCTCTTGAGCCCAGTCCCTCGTTCCCTTCTTCTCACGGCTTGAAGGCCTGTCCCTCTCATAGGCATGCCCAGACTTGGATCTTGCCAAATTCCTCATCTCACCAGGACCTCTTACCCAGACACTTATCTCTACAGAAGCATCCCACCTCCCCTCTGCTTCCCTCCCCTTCTGCCACTAATGGGGAAGAGAGAGGTGGGTAGTCTGTGGGTGAGCCAGAGGTCAGATTTCCTAACAAGCTAGGGGACTGTTTGTTTTGCGACCTAACTGCCTTTTGCCATTTCTTCTCCCACAGCCCAGTCCGTGGAAAGCAAACAGGACAGAACATAAAGCAGGCTCGCTCTCCTCTAGCCGGGATTCTGCCTTTACCAGTCCAGTTGCTGTCACCAAACCAGTAGTACTGGCAAGTGGTTCAGTACTTCCCTCTCCCAAAGAGGTGAGTGGGACCAACCAGAACTGCCAAGGATAGAAATGGCATTTCCCAGGAACTTCAGGGCCTTGTCTGTTTTCCTTACTAATAACATAGCTCTCCCAAACTGGCAGGTAGGTGGCAGAGTGCATAGCGTGCTGGGCCTGGAGTCAGGAAGACTCATTTTTCTGGGTTCAAATCTGGCCTCAGACACTTCCTAGCTGTGTGAAACTGGCAAGTTACTTCACCCTGTTTGCCTCAGTTTCCTCATGTGTAAAATGATCTGGAGAGGGAGATGGCAAACCACTCTAGTATCTTTGTCAAAAAAAAAAACAAAAAACTCCAAATGGGGTCATAGAGGATCAGACATGGCTGAACAACAACACAGATTGACACACTCTGATGGCTGTGCTGGACTCTATCACTGATGAAATGCTTGACCATAGATGAGACTCCAAAAAGCTTCCACACTGGTCCAGAGAAGGCCTGCAGTGGTCTGCCTCTATTTTTTCTTATTTTACTTCAAATCAATAGGTAGGTGGGAGAAGATCTCTGAGGAGAAATAAATGAAAGCCACTGGCCCACATCATTTTCAGAGCAGTGGATATTTCATTTGTTTTTTAAATAACTCTACTTAGGGGCAGCTAGGTGTCACCGTGGATAGAGCTCTGGCCTTGGAGTCAGGAGGACCTGAGTTCAAATCCGGCCTCAGACACTTGACACTTACTAGCTATGTGACCCTGGGCAAGTCACTTAACCCTGATTGCCTCACCAAAAATAAATAGATAGATAGGTAGATAAATAGCTCTGCTACTTTCTGTCTTCTATGTGACCGTGGCCAATCACTTCATATCTGGTCCTCAGTTTCTTCAGCTGTAGAATAAGGGGGTTGGTCCTAGAGGATCTTGAAGGCCATTTCCAGCTTGAAATGAAATCCTTCATGCCGTGAACCTAAGAAAGAGGGATGTTTCATTACACACGTTTGTTGGATGTTTCCCAGGATGCCCAGGGGGAGCACCATTAACAGGATTTTAATGTGGTACAGACAGGACTAGTCTCTAATATGTGAAAATTAAATTTGGTGTGATAACAATAGAAGGGAACCTTAGAGGAGGAAGTGGAAGTTAAGTTATTAGCAATCAGTAACAGCTAGGAACCTCCAGGATTCTAGTCCATTGCTGTTTCCACCATGCTGCCCTACCTCTCCTTAGATGCAGTCTCTACTCTCACCACACTTGCAGCTTAACCAGCTAAGACAGACTGATGGGTTGTAACCATGACATTCAGAGGGCATCACAGATTCATATGTACCTATTGAATTTATGCTGATACATAGATTAATGTCTTTCAGCACACTGAGGCTGTTCTCGGCTTTTATAATGTGTAAGTTATAATTTTTAATAGTATCTGGGACTTTGTGAAAATATTGCTCAGTTCACTGAGATTTTTGACTCATCGTGAAGAAAAGGTGTGTCAGAGAAAGGTTTTCCAGAAAAGTAAAAGTTAGTGTTTTGGATTGAATTTGGATGAAAAAAGAAATTATTTAGTGGGTAAGAAATGGGGTTTATTAAATAGTCCAGAGACTGATTTCATGTAGAACGTGACAGCCAGAAATGGCTTGTCTGGTAAGGAGGTAGACCAATGAATGGAGAGTCTCAAGGCTTTCACCCAGAGTGATATTAGTCACTCTGTGTATAGACCTCATGGTTTTCTCACCTAGGTTTTGTCAACCTGGGTCTACCATGTCATTGGGAGAGCAGCACCAAAGTCACCATACTGCCCAGTCCTAGAGTAGAAATTTTTGGCCTGTGCATCTTCTATTTAGCTTTGCCTTAGTGCTGGAACCTTAATTCTGGGCAGAGAGCAATGCATTCATGGTCTGAGCCCATTCCCTGATGGGTGTCTTCCCAATGACTTATAGAACAATTCATTTTCCACATGGCCAAACCTCCCTGTCTCCGAAACCTCTGTGAAATGGAACTTCTGCTTATTAATTCAGTTGAAAAAATACCATTTTTCATCTCTTTCTGAATACTTAAGCCTTCTGCTTTAAAACTCCTACTTTATTTTGGGGCCTCCCATAACTGTCTTCCAAAACTCCAAAGAAAAAAATTTGTATCCATGGTGTCACATGTGACATCCTCCTTGTGACAGCCATTGCCCTCTGAATCACATACAGTCTTGATTCTTAGAAGCTCAGGATCTTGTTTTGGAGTTACATTGCATTATTAGAAGAATATTGGTTGGGTCAGGGAGCAACTGGGGAACACTGGAAGGAGGATTACTTTATTTTCACATGCAGCCTAGCCTACCACTTCATTTCAGTTCTGTGACCCTTTTTTGTTTATGAAGTAAATGACTTAAACCACAATTTGACAAAATAACCTCCTAAACAAATCATAATCTGGGTAATAGGCATTCTTCATCCAGTTGGGTTTTCCTGTGTGGATTGTTAGCCAGTCTATTTAGGGGCTAGGGATCTCATCAAGGATATTCTGCAGTTTTCTGGGGCGTGATGCTGTCAATAGTATTATCTGCCTCTGCATCTAAATTTCAGCATCCAAAGCCAGAGGATCAACAGAATTAGTTAGGAAAGGACTTCAATGGGCATCTAGTCTAATTCTTACCCAAGGTAATCCTTGCAGTAATATCCCACAGTGGCCATGTTGGAAGTGGAGGGAGGTCAGACTTAAATAGAAATGGATTCCTGTGGGCCCATATGGACTTAGAAAATCACGAAGTTAACATTATCTTTGTGGAGTCATTTTATTCATTTATTTATTTATTTTTTGGATAAGCCTTTCCCAATTAGGTTTTAATCTGGTTTGACCTGCCAGTTTGACCCCTCTTGTGTAGTAGACAGAGGCATGAAAGACCTGGGCTTCAGTCCCACCTGTGCCTCCACTTAGTAGCCTTGTGACCCTGGGCAAGTCCCTTCAGCTCTTTAAGCCTTAGCTTCCTCATTTGTAAAATGGAATTAGGATACCTTTAGTACCTACCTATTTGACCAGGTATTTGTAAGACTCAGGTGAGATAATGCATCTACAATGCTTTGCAGTGCTATGTACGTTTCAGCTCTTATCAGGGAGACCTCACTCCCCACCCTGTGCAGCCCATTCCAATTTTAGACAGCTGGAGTTGTTAGGAATACCATCCATTGAGCTGAAATCTGACTCTGTAATTCTATTTCACTTCCCTTTTTGTTCCTAGTTGTGCCCTCCGGGGCCAAGTTCATTCCTCTTCCCCATGACTACCCTTGAAGAAATTATCCATAGCTACATGTTATGTCAGTCTCTCCCCATTCCCCACCCCCTTCCCTGACTCCTATCCAGACATCTGTCTCGTCCTCGTAGGTGTGAGTAGGTGAGCTGCCTGACTAGTTGACCTAGTTTTTTCCTCTCTCCTAAAGGATTCTCTCTAAGCTTTTGTTTTTCCATACTGTCATTTTTATCAGTTCCTTTTTTAAAATTTTTTTCATGTTTTCATTTTATTTTATTGACTCAAAGAGATTGCTTCATTCCCTCTATCTGAAGTGGACTATATACTACTCCCTCATCAAACCCACTCCCACTTAATGGCAGAAGATTGCACTGATCCTACAAATGGTTTCCACTACATAGGACTTTATTCTTTATTGAATTTATAATAAATGGTTATTATTTTTTTAATTTCGTTGGCCTAAATCATCTTGGAGCAAAATTGCTTATCCCCAATACTTATTAGAGTTATCCTAAACAAAGGCCATGCAGCAGGGCACATCATCATTTCCTTTTTGCAAGTTTGGAACAGCTATATTTGAGGAAATCATCACCTGGTTATTTGACATGGAACCACACTGATACCAGCATGAGTTTAACATCCCAATTTGTACAACATCCCTCAAAGTTTGAAACCACAAGTGTGGTGGGAGGTACTTCACCTGTAGGATTATTTTAAATACTGTTTCTCTAACTCAGGTACTTACCGCATGACCCGGATGAGTTGACTTGCATTTGTCTAAGCTAATGAATATTGTGCATACACATGAAAGATATTGATTGATTGGCATGGTTCTGTGTGACAATCTGATGGCTGCTTCTAAATCTGAGTAGAATTGTGTGTGTTCCTGGCTAAGTTCCCTGGGCAGTTTGGATGCCCCAGATTTCAGTGTCTGCTAGCCTAGACCTTAGAACAAGCGGCATGCCCAGATTAAGGCCCAGCCTGGAATCTTTTGGACTTAACAGTAGAAAAGGCCTAAAAATGCCTCTAACAAGGCTGCTAACAGAGACACAAAAAGGCACCTTTTGGCATTCTCAGAACAAGTCACTCCTTGGCCATGTTATTTCATCTTCCTATTTTAGGCCTAAATGAGACTGGTCCCAGTTATCTCAAAGTTTCACTGATGACTTTTGGTTTTTATACCAGTCATTTCTTACTAGATCTCTGCTCCTCCCTCCACTCCCAAGAAGTCTTCCTTTCAACAAAGGAAATCATCTAAACCAAGCCAGTGATACTCACTACGATTGACAGTATGTGCAACATTTAGTATCAGCACATCAACAAGTACTTACTAAGTGCCTTATGTGTTCCCAGCACTGCATTAGTATTGACAGTACAGGTACAAAGAGTGAAACAATCTGTGCTCATGGAGAGCTTACATGGTAATGGTCAAGAAGGGTGTGTGTCTGTGTAGCCTAACTATTATGTGAATAAACACACATATGCAAAGTAGTTAAATACAAGGTAGTTTGGGAGGAAAGGCACTGACAATTGGTAGGAGTTTCATGCAGAAGGTAGTGTTTGAGCTACATATTTTTAAGAATAAATTTAATATTTCTTTTTTAGCATTCATTTTTTAAAATTTTGAGTTCTAAATTCTCTCTCTCCAGCTCTTCCCCCACCCATTGAGAAGGCAAGCATTATATCAATTATACATGTGAAGTCATGTAAAACATTTTCTATTCCATGTTACAAAAAAAGAAAAATAAAGCAAGTAAAAAAAGTCTACTTCAGTCTGCACTTAGAATTCATCATTCTCTCTCGGGAGGTGGATAGCATTTTTCATCATGAGTCCTTTGGAATTGTCTTGGATCATTTTCTTGATCAAAGTAGCTAACTCTTTGTTAATGTTACAATTTTGCTGTTACTGGAGGATTAGGAAAGGTTTCATGCAGAAGGTCATGTTAAAAATTTATTATTTATCATATATCATAAAGGTGAAATCCCTCACACCACACTTGTGGTTTCAAATGTTGAGGGATGTTAAATAAATTGAGGTGTTAAACTCATACTGTTGTTCTCCTGGTTGTGTTCACTTCACTTTGCATCAGTTCATATAAGACTTCCCAGTTTTTTCTGAAACCATCCTGTTTGTAATTTCTTATAGCACAGTAGTGTTCCATCACAATCATAAGCCACAGCTTGTCTGGCCGTTCCCCAGTTAATGGGCATCCCCTCAATTTTCAGTTCTTTGCCACCATAGAAAGAGCTGCTATAAACATTTTTGTACATATAGGTCCTTCTCCTTTTCCTTGATCTCAGCAGTGGTATTGCTAAGTCAAAGAGCATTGAGCTTCATCTTAAAGAGAGGGGCTTGTCAGTCAGATTCTGATCCTCCATTGGTGCTATATCTGTAAGATGCCCCACCGCCCTTTAGTAAGGAGGCTGCAAAACATAGCTGTTTGGGGAAAGTCTCGAACGCAGCTTTGCACGTGCTACACTGTGAAATCAATGAGTCCAGCTGTGCGCCGGACACCATTAATATGGGAACAAAATGAAATTGGGTCTGCCCTCCAGGAGCTCACATTCTACTGGGGCCGGACCTTCGATTTCACCGGGAGAGGGGAGCTTCAGGTGCGAAACTCTCCACCAAAGCCCACTTGGCACTTTCTTTGCAACTCGGCCTGAGTGGGACTGCCCGGAGTTGCGCCTCTAACTCTGATCTTCATGGCTCCAAGCCCAGTTTCCCACCACCCACATCACACTATGTCTCATGTGTGTCCATGTGGGCTGGGTGCAGAATAAAGAAGGCTTTGTGTACAAGGCGTTGCTCGAGGCCAGTCAGTTTAAGGAGAAAGTAAAGGCTAGATTTGCCGGACAGAAGAACACTCCATACTTTCCTCTCTATGCCAGAGCCTGCTTAAACCCATCCTTTGCCTCCAGTCCTATAACCTCAGTGGTTCTTCAGGCCATGAGCCCTGCTCTGCCTTTTAATGCCTCTCAAGCCATTTCAACATCACACCGCCCTCTACTCTTGAAACTCTCACCCCCACATCCTGTTGTCCTCATCTCTTGCTGTGTTCCCACCATCCACCTCCTCTGCTGCTGCTGACTGGAACAAGAAGTCTCACAACCACACTGGCCAGGTGCTTTTATCGAGCACTTGAAGGTTTATAAAGCATTTGTCAAATATCTCATCCCGCCCTCACAGCCCTGGCAGGATAGGTGCTATTATTTTTTTTCATTTTACAGATGAAGGAACTAAGGTAGACACAGGTTAAGTGACTGGCCCAAGATCACATAGTTAAAAGGGTTTGAGGCTGGATTTGAACTCAGATCTTCCTGAATCCAGGTCCAATTCTCTACCTACTATCCAAATTTATATTAACCAACCTTATCTGTGCCCTTACTGCAGCAAAGCAGGCTTCCTTTTATTCCTCCCTAATTGAATCTCTGTCTCATTCACTCTTCTTTCTCAGCTGAGAATCTGGCCTCTTACTTTACTTTACTTTACTTTACTTTACTGAGAAAATTGAGGCCATTCTGTGTGAGCTCCACTTTCTTCCATTCTCTTCATCTCAAGACTTCCTGACATCAGCCCCTACTCTTTCTTCCTTTCTGCCAGTCTCTGATAGAGATGGTCCTTCTCACCAATGTCATGCCCTCTCCACTTACATCTTCTCAAGCAGACTGCATTCTCTATCCCTCTCTATTGTGTCTTCAAAACCACCTCCCTGTCTACTTCTGATGCTGTCCCTCTTGCCTTCAAACGTGCCCAAGGTACCTCAAATTTGACATGTCCAAAACTAAAATCATCATCTTCCCAGATTCTCTGCTTTCTAAAACTTGCCCATTTCTGTTAAAGTCACCGCCATCCTTCCAGTCTCCTAGCTTCATAACTTCTGTTTTGTCCTGAATTCCCCCCTCTCCCTCACCCCACATACCCAGTCAGTCACTAGATCTTGCCCTCTCTACCTTTGCAGCATCTCTCACATCTGACCCTTCCCAGTGTTCTTAAATGCACCCGCTTACATCACTGACTACCAGGGAAGTAGCGAGTCCAGGTGGATTCCTTGTCCAAACTAAGGGTGTTTTAGATTATTAATGGGAGAGTCATGCATGATATGGGATGGCAAGGACCAGGCATTCTAAAGTTTAATGCCTCTAAGAGCTGGTCCATGGAAGTCCCCAGTCCCAGATCTTACCTGACAAAACTCTTATTGTGTGTTTGCTTAGAGCCCCTCCAGCACCACCCCTCCCATCGAGATTAGTTCCTGCCGTCTAACCAAGCTGACCCGTCGGACCACAGACAAAAAGAGTGAGTTCCTAAAGACTCTGAAGGATGACCGGAATGGAGAGATCTCAGAGAACCGAGAATGTGACAAACTGGAGGACGTAAGAGCAAAGGCTTTCATGGGGGGGGGGAGCGGCACATCTTGCTGGAAATGACATCCTCATGTTTCTGAATCAGTGTTGATCTCTAAACACTTGAGTTTTTACTTGGGTGAAGGAACTAATAAACCATTTGCAGATGCAATAAGTAATAGTAATGGGCATAGGTTGTACCAAAAATCTATTTGCAGTTTATAGTTATCCACCCTAGAATACTTTTTTTACAACCTAGAAAAAGTTAAGTCTTTTCTAGCACATCTGTAGCAAAGAAATGTAAGTTATGATCTGTGTAAAGTTTTATAGCAACCCAATGCCAAAAGCAAAGGCTAGATTAATAGCCCTATTTAAATTAAAGCCCCAATCCCAGTTACCAGACTGGCTTCTATTTCACTAAAATTGAAGTTACCCCCTGAGGAAAGATAATTCAACACCACCAGCACCAAACACCTCCCATGGCTCCATTGTAGCAGAGAAACAGAGCTGGGCTAAGACTAGGTCTCTGTTCTCAAAGTTGACAGTCTAGTAGAGGTCAAGATAAAGCTTGGTCCTGATTAGTGCAAATATTGAGTCCCCCTGAACCGTTCACTTGTATTCCCAATCGCACTATTCAGACTTCTAATTACTTGAAGTGTTTAGTTAAAGTTCAGTGGAAATATTCATTGTGGATTCACATAATGCAACCACTGCAGGGGATCCATTATTTGCACTAAGTGGAACCTAGCCACGTGTATTTTTCACTGCCCACCATGCATCCATAGGAACAGATTTTCTTGTGGATCCAATTCTCACTCACAGAAGGCACTGGTTGTCCTAGAGGTTGAGGGTAAAAGGGAGCAGAGCTGGGTGGAAGGTGTTGCTCACTTTAAGAGAGCAGGCTGTGCTGAAGGTGCAGAGGGGGCTTTCTGAAAAGACAGATGTCTCTGAGGCACAGGGAGCTTGCTGACCCCCTGAGATTTTTAAATGCCCTATACAGAGGAGAGAAGCCTCATGTGGTCCTCAAAAGAGGACTGTCAGGAGGGCTGAAGTTGAGAATGACCTGAGGCTGACCAGGGAGGGCAGGGACCACAAAATGATTTGGGCTTGAGTTTTTGGATAAGCTATATTGAAGAAGTTCCAAAGAAAGGACAGATCTGCTGTGACTATGACAACTGGTGACCAAGGTGCTCAATTTTTATTCTTCTGTTCTCTGTGCTAATGAGAATGACCTTTTGACTACATAGACATGGGTAATAAGGAAATTGATTCCCAAGATAAATCATCCCCATTTTGCAGCTGAGAAAGGTTCAGTAATTTGCCTGGGGTCACACAGCTAGTAAGTGTCCAGGGCAGGATTGTGGTGTTACTTTGTCCGTCTTGCTCCCCCATACGTTCTGGAATTAAAAGAAACTGGCAGTTGTAATCACCAAATCACTGTTAGTGATATTGAAAAGATCATGACAAGCCAGAGAGGCATCATGAGCACTGGGAAAGGGCAAATGTCTCCATCTTCCCAGAAGAGAAAGCAGATAGAATTTTCCACCTACAGGGCAATGAGGAGGACTGTGATTTGAAAGAAGATTCTAGAAACTATTGTTGGAGATGATTCCAAGACACAGAAAAGACTTGTCAGACTTTGTTCTTTACAAGGGATACCTCCCAGAGAAATGAAGATTTTCACAGTAGAGATGGCCAGGGCAAAATGTTGAAGACCTTGAAGGTTTTCATTCCTCCTACTCATTGAAGGGGAAATTGAGAAAGAGGCAGGTTTGGGAAGCAACCAGCTGGCTAAGAAGATGTCAGTCCTGGCTTTGGGTTTCTGGACCAAAGCTTAAAATGTAGGAATAAAACAGGCCAAGAATAGAGTATACCTAACTGGAGTTGAGTTTCTTCTGTTTTATTTTTCGTGGTTGGGGTTTTTTTTAAGCTATTTTTCGAGTCTCAGAAATCTAGTATAGGGGAATCTGCCTACTCCTAACATGGAAAACGGTCCCCAGGTGGATTACCAGCTTCCTTCAGGCCCGGCCAAGATCCACCCAGGGCAAGAGGCCTTCCCATCTCTGCCCAACTCCTCCTCAGCATGTGTCTGATAGTTGCCTAGTTATTCACACCCGAAGGATCAGACTCAAGGCCCACATCACTTCTAGTTGCATTCAGAACCATAATTGGGAAATAGGTAATGATTTACTGAGTGTGTAACATGATAATAAAATAAAACCTAAGTGAGTGTGTTATCCACAGGGTCCTTATGGACGGTTTGGAGGTGCCAGTTTTTGTTTGAGTTGAGCATCACTGCCATTAGAATAGGAGCCTCTGGAGGTCAGGGCCAGTTTGGCCTTTGTTTGTGCCTGGCACCTAGTAAGTGCCAAATGAACACATACGATCCACTGGGCCACGCCAGCACATAATAAGTCTCTACCCTCCTGCCTCCTGTAGATCCACCAGCATCTTGTTGGACATTCTGGGTCAAACCAGAGGCTTGCCCCTGAGGTCCTCAGAGCTCTCCTATCCCACCTCTGAATGTTAAAAGATGATAGCTAGGAATGTGGGATGAAGGGGAACAACAAGAAACAAGTCCAGAAAGGTAGGTTAGGGGGCTTTTAAATGCCAGTAAGTAGAAATATTACAGTTAACTGTAATACACAATATTGCCTGAGAATTGTATTAGTGAGGTACAACCCAGAGTGGTTCATGGCCCAGAGACTGCTGACCCAGTGGATGGAGTGCCAAGCCTGGCGTGAGGAAGACCCGAGTTCAAATCTTGCCTCAGACATGTGTTAGCTGTGTGACCCTGGGCAAGTCACATAACTTCTGTTTGCCTCATCTGTAGAATGGGGAATCATAATAGCACAATGTCTGGCACATGGTACGTGTTTAATAAATGTTTATTTGCTTCCATGTGTGGTGGGGAAAGATGAGTTAGACCCAGGAGTCCCAGAAGGCCTTCTGGAGGAGGAGCATGTGAGCTGAGCTTTAATGGGCACATAGAAATTAAATAAGCAGCTTGTGAGGGGTGCACCCCAGGAGGAGACAGAGGAAGAGGAGACCTGGGCAAGGGTCTGACCACACCAGCTTGTGGAGGACCTATCACACACAGGAAGTCGGGAGAAAAGCACTCCAGATTTTTGAGCAAAGGAATTCCAGGGGTGCTGGGGAGGGCGGTGACTGTGGGGAGTGAGGAGAAGAGAGGGTCCAGGAATTTAGAGTTTGTCTAGTGGGACCCTCTCATTTTACAAAAGAGCAAACACTCAGCAAACATTATGGAAGTGGGCTTGGAAGCTGACAGAAAGTGGGCATCTGACAGGAGCCAGAAATGGGGAAGCAAGCATTCCTAAGAAGGGCCAGTTAAGGGGAGAAAGAACAAACTCAGGGTTTTTATGTTTGTTTTGGGGGGGGGTTATTTATTTTATTTTTATTAATTTTTTTTGATTTATCAACAATCACTTCCATATGCTTTTGAGTTTAAAATTTTTCTCCCCCTTCCTCCCCACCACCCTCCCCAAGACAGCACACAATCTGATATAGGCTATACATTTACATTCCTATTAAACATATTTTCACATTAGTGACGTTGTAAGTAGAAATTAAAACAATAGGAGGAACCATCAGAAAAAGGAAACAAAACTCAACAGAAGAGGAAAAAAAATAACAATTCGGCTTCCATAGTTCTTTCTTTGGGTGTGGATAGCATTCTCCATCACAAGGCCTCTGGAGATGTCTTAGATCCTTGTATTTCCAGGAAGGGTTAGGTTTATCAATGTTAGTCATCACACAACATGGCTGTTATTGTGTACAATGTGCTCTTGGTTCTGCTCACTTCACTCAGCATCAGACCATACAAGTCTTTCCAGGTTTTTCTGAAGTCAGCCGAACAAAATCAGTTTTAGGTGTGTTGAGTTCGACATAGTAATGGGACGAATATTCAAGTTTGAGAATTCAGAAGACAAGCTCCAGGCTTTATTAGCTTAAGCCGTCAGCACTTCCTGTTCCTCCTCTATTACATGGAGATAGTAAACTTTACTGTGACATGGCTGGTGGCCCAATAGATAGAATACTCAAGTTCAAATCCAGCTTCAGACACTTACTGTCTATGGGACCCTGGGCAAGTCACTTCAACTTAGTTTGCCTCAGTTTCTTCAGCTATAAGAGGGGATAATAACTACCTACCTCACAAGGTTGCTGTGTACAGTATTTGTGGCTGTACAGTAGTATTTGTAAAAAGTGCTTAGGACAGCATCTGGCACAGGGTGACAGTAAGAAGACTGCTCTGTAAAAGCTCTGAGAAATGTGGGTTGTTTGTCATCTGTTCGTAAGAAGAGGCTGAAACCCTGAGATTGTGAGAGGGGAGCTAGGGATGGACTCATGGAGGGTGCCCTCATTAGGGATTGGGAAGAGGTTGGGTGGAGCGAGGAATCCCAGCATCATAAATGTACAAGTTAAGAGAACATTCCTTAGGAGACCCTCCACTGGGGAGAACATGCCCAGCTTTTGCTTGGAGACCCCCACGGAACGGGAGGCATCCATCCCACTCTGACTCTGCTCTCATGGTTAGCAAGTCTTTGCTGACATCAGCCTGAATTGTCTGCTTTGTACCTCCCCTTCTTGCACCTTATCCTGCTGTCTGGTGCCAAGGGCAGTAAATCAAATTCCTCCTCCACTTGATGACTCTCCCCAGAGGTGAATACCCTCCCTGAAGCTCCACATCGTGAACTGAAGGCTCTTCCCCATCTTGGCTGCCCTCTGGTCACTCCCAACTGATGAATGTCCTTTAATATTCTGGTGTCTACAACCGAGCACAAGAGTCCTTCCCAGGACAGAGGAGAGGGCTGAGATCATCACCACCCTGTTCTGGAAGCGTTGCCCCTCCCCGAGCAGCCCGAGGTGGCATTAGCTGGCTTGGCTGCCACATCACCTTAATGACTTCACTGAGCTTTGGCAGTACTTCATCCCCAGATCTTTTTCCAGACACCTCCATGGCTCTCTCATCTTATTTTTGTGATGTTGGTTTTCTTTATACCCAAGCTTAAGACTTTACGTTTATCCCTAATGAAGTTCATCTTACTAGACTCAGCCCTGTGGCCTGGCCTTGCATAGCCTGAATTTTCAAGGTCCTTTTGGATCCCAACACTGCTGTCCAGTATGTCAGCTGTCCTTCCTAGCTTTGCATTTCTGCAAATTTGATCAACGGTACCATCTCAGCTTTTGTCCATATCAGATAAAAATGTTCAACAGAGCAAGTCCTAGCACAGATCCCTGGAGCACTTCGCTGGAGACTTGCTGTCTAGGTGACACTGAACTGTTAATAATTACTCTTTGAGAGTCGATCTAAAAATAATAATAATAATAATAATAATTACTCTTTGAATCTGGCCATCTCACTCATGATGAATCCATGTGACTATTATCCTTCAAAAACTAAAACGCAAAAAAAATTAAATTAAAAAAAATAAAACTAAAACGCAGGGGTCACATCCCTCCCATATCTTCCTTTCAGGCTGTACCTTGAAAGGTTCTTTTTCTTGATAGTTTGATGACCTTTTTTTTCCATTACCTTCCCCTAAATTGTATTGAAGCAGAATCACCCCTTGCCACTGGTCATTTGATAGTGCTTCCAAACACAGCTGTCACAAAGCAGTACTTCCTTGCCACCAGTGTCCTTTGTAAGTTTGAGCATAGTCATTTTGGGGAAAAACCAAACCTAGGATCTCAGGGGCATCCTGCCCTGTTGTGCTTCAGTCCAGCCTCCCAGAGCCTATACTGAAATTGAAATCCATGGCAACCCAACTCCTTTCTAAGCTGAATATGTTCCTGATTCTGTCGACTCATCCCCTTCTCCTCTTCTTCTTTGGACAACTTGGGGGAGATTTTCAGGAAACTGAAGCTACACTTGAGGAACTTGTCTTGCTGCTTGTTTTAAGTCTTAGATCTGAGCCAGTAGAGCTTGGGGCTGAGAGGATACAACCATCCACATCCACAACAGGAAATACTTATCACGCAGCCGCTTGCTTGGTGCTTCATTGGTGGTCTTAATCACAGACACCTGAGTGACTGTCCAAACTCTGTTAGGATATTAGGTTTCATTTTGAGTGAAGCGAGCTGTCGGCGATGGGGATGTTGCCTGTCTTAAATGAATTATACTGTGCTTTTCCATGCAGCAAAGGGCCAGCATTAGGACTTGGTGGTAGGTGACCTTGGGTGCTAGCTTCAGTCTCATTTAGGAAACCTGTCCCCCTCATACTAAGTCTTTTATTACTCTGCTCAACCCCGACTTGCATGGGTGTTACACAGATTATTAGTCACTATAAGAACAAGGGTTCCAGTGAGGTGGGCTAAAGCTCAGCCAGCGGCTTCTTGTACTCCTTTGGGGGTTGGTTAACCCTGTAAATCCATGTTTCCCTTGGGGGAAGGAACTGGGCAGGAGGAAGGAAAATCATCCTGTGCTTGGGTACTTGAGACTGCTCGTTTGCAAAGGGCAGTTTTCCCAGGTGATATCTTTCTCTCCTGCTGCAGATGGAGGGGAACAGCACACCAGAACCAAAGGAAAATGGGGAAGAGGGTTGCCATCAGAATGGCCTCACTCTCCCCTTAATGGAGGAGGGAGAAGGCCTTTCTCTCTCATTGGAAGCGGAACACAGGTGAGTGAAAGAAAACCAAGCGTGGGGAGTGTTACTTAGCGTGGAAGGCCTGCAGGCCACAGGTAGGTTGTCATCTCAGGAAAGTGTTACCTAGCATCTCATCACAGAAAGCCTGAGTCCTGCACTGGCCCAGAACAGTCCTGGAAGGCACCCAAAACAAGAATGAACATGTTACAGCTGTAGTTAATTTTGTGGCTAGAAGACTTAGTAGCATTGGAGCTGGGAGAGAGGTCAGCAGAAAGAAGGATTCCTTAATTAAGACACCATTGACTCTCCCTTCTGAGGACTTTGTATTCCTCTTCCCTTCCCTCTGTCCCTGTGTCCGTCTTCCTCCTCCTGCCCGTGGTCTCCAGGTGCTTCTCACCTCCAGTTTCCTGAGCTGGTCAGTTGTGGCCATTGGCAACCCTGGTAACATTCGTCACTTGGAATCTCTTTGGTGGCCTTGGTCGTCTTGAATGTCCCAGTTAGTGTGAATAATAAATCTCCTAGTGTGGTTGCTGATACTTGAATTCAGTGTTCAGAGTCATACTTGTGTAACATATGGTCATTGGAAATAGGTAGTGTGAATTTGAATGATGTGGCTGCTTCTGAGGGGTCAATTCTTCACCCTCACCTGGAGCTGGCTGTAGTTCGGTGCCCATGTGCACCTGCTGAGGGGCTTGGGTGTTTGGGCACAGAGAAGAGGGAAGCAGGACAGGAGGGGCCAGAAGCTCCTGGGCTCCTCTCGGCTGCCCTGTTCCCACTGACACGTTCTTCCTGTTGGAGTAGGTTATTGAAAGCAATGGGCTGGCAGGAATACCCAGAGAATGACGAAAATTGTCTTCCCCTCACGGAGGATGAGCTAAGAGAGTTCCACATGAAGACAGAGAAGGTATGTCCGCCACCCGCCCCCTGTCCCTGGGACAGCTCTGTTCAGACCATGCAAACTCACCTTTTGTCCATCCCCGGGGGGATTGGGGGAGAACCTCTGCCCACAGTGATTGTCGCCTTCTCCCCTCCCCCAGTTAAGAAGAAACGGCTTTGGGAGGAATGGCTTCTCTCAGAGCCGCCGCCTCTCTGGCCTCTTTGCCACTTGGAGAAATGCTTTGAAGCCTGAGGCCGAAGACTCGGGCACCGAGACGAGCAGCAGCGAAACTTCGGATGATGAGGCCTAGCCGAGTGACCTGTCCAGCTCCGCTCCCCGTCAGGGTTGTATAAATGAAACCGTTCTTTTTCCTTTCCTTGTTCGTTGCTGTTGAATCCTTCGTGCACAAAGGGGATGATCCCAAAGAAGAGAGATTGGCTTTGTTTGGCTTTTTTTCTTTTTCTTTTTCTTTTTTTTTTTTTTTTTTTTGGTCCAGCCTGTTCTATGCTTAATAGAGGCAAGTTTGTATAGCTGGGAAATTTGTGACAAAAAAAAAATAAAATAAATATATAAGTACACACGTACACACATACACACAAGTTTGTGTGCAGCTGTGTGTGTAGGACAGTAAATGTGTCTGACAGAGCTGGTGGCAGAAGTGAGCAAGAGCCGGACCTTGGCAGCCTTAGCTTTCTAACGCAGCCCCGCCCACCCCACCCAGCCCCCCCTGCCTGCCCTAGGCCCTTGGGAGCTCAGGGCTACTCACAATGTGCTCAAACAATCATTGTCAATGACAAAATGACTATGGAAGTTATAACTGTGTTAAATTAATGCAAATAACATGGATTTTTAATTTTCTTTTTATTTTTGGCGGCTCGGGCAGCTTTCATCACTTAACCAAGCATTTGTGGGTTTCCTTTTTTCCATTTTGGGTACAGCTGTAAAATATTTGGATATAGGAATTGTTGTGTTCTTCTTGCAGCCTTGATATTCAGGGTGGATTGTAAAATATAAATTTTTGTGAGATTTCAAAGATTAAGATTATTTTGATAACATTATTTACAGATTTTAAAAAGTGGTTATCACATGAGTCTGTATAAGGGGAAAAACTACTGCATCAAAAATAACTAACTTGGAATAAATATTTTGCATCAGTTTGCCAATTGGAATTGTCCTTCTTGTGTGAGAGTTTGGTTTTAAGGGAAGTGGTCCCAATTCTTTTCTGGTGGTGCTGTTAGTTTATCAATCTGGGCGCAGATCTTAGGTTTTTGCCAAAAATCTTTCTTTCCGTTGTCAGTGGAAGCTGTTATGGGTCCTTGAAGTCTCAGGGTGATGACATTCCAGGCCTTTCACCACTTCTTTTTCCAGCATCCTCTGGTGCTTGCCCATCCATCGCCTCTGGAATAAAGGGGCCAGGCTTGGGCTCTGCTCACCACAGCCCACATGCTCACACGCACCCCTCTCCGTTTTTAGCAGGAGGTCTCTGGCATTGGTAGTATGCTTCCTATCACACTTTATTTGGATGTTTTTCCTGGGCTCAGTCACAGTTCCCAGTCTCCATCAGTTAAACCCAGAGAGCCCAGTATGGAACTCCTACTTGTCTCTGTGTTGGCAGGGGGTGCTGGGCCACCAGGAGCCATTACTTCTACTTGAAGCCTGGACCTTCAGGACGTCCTGGGCTTCCACGCTGCCTGTGGATCTCACAAGCTCAGCCAAGGGATAGGGTGGGGGTAGGTTTGGAATCCTCATTGCTGGGGGAGGGTGGCAGTGCATCATGAAGGTGTAAGTATCCTTGCATGCAGAATCCCAAATGAGCCCTTTGTGGAAATGCTGGGTTTAGATGAGACAAAGGCAGCCGGCCCTCCTAAAGCTGACAGCACTGACACGTGGAGCTGGTTGGAGGACCCTGGCATCAGACACCAAGGAGGGTCAGTGTGAGGTCAGAGGGGATGCTGGTAAATCAGGAAAGGCTTCCCACTGGAGACCGTTTGAGCAGTGAGCAGTCACAGACTCTCAAAGTCAGAAAGGATGGCACCCTCAGGTCCTCCACTCACTGTGTGCTTGAAAGGGTCTCCGCTGTCCCACCCCAAAACTGGTCCTCCAGCTTCTGCTTGGAGGACTCCCAGTACAGGGAAATCCACTGCCTCTCAAGGCAGCTCATTCCACTTTACATAGGGAATTTTTCTTCAAATTTGGTTGAAATTTGCCTTTCCAGTTTTCCTCTATTATTAATAATAATAGCTAACACTTCTATGGGGCTTTCAGGTTTTCAAAATGCTTTGCATCAGTTCATTTGATCTTCACAACAACCCTGGGAGGTAGGCACTATTATTATTCCATTTACAGATGAGAAAACTGTGGCTCCAAGAAATTAAGCTGTATGCCCAGTCTTGCAGCTAGTGTCAGACGTAGAAGTAACTGGAGCTCAGGAAAGTAGAAACAAGGTCCAAATCCCACAAAGGCAGGATGAAAGTCAGGAAGACTTGTATGGACTGATGCAGAATGAAATGAGCAAACCTGGAGGAGTAACTTGGGCAGGGACCATAGCGTACTGGAGCTTTGAAAGACCAGCCCTATGGGCAGAGGCCAGAGTTCCGTGAAGTGTAGCAAGCGTGGCCCATCTTGGGGTATGATGCCTGGGGGACAATGGCAGTGTGTTACCAAGGTCTTGGGTTCGGTTTTGGTTTTCAGTTGGGAATGAGTTGGAAAGGGGGGCATTGATAAGGTTGCCAGATAAGAAGAAAAGAGAACCTATTGAAGAAAATCTTATGTAGAAGAGAACAGAAGGAAATAGACAAGGAGGACGGCTTCAAGAGTTGCCTGCTGGATTTATTAGAGACTTCAGAGGAAAAGCAAACTAAGAGAGAGTCATGTTTTCCTGTGCAAACTCCTTTTTCTGTTCTCCTTTGTATGTGGAAATGCTCGTTTTATTTGGTTTTTGTTTGTGGCATAATAAATACTCTTGGTTCCTTTTCTCCCAGGCAAGAAAGCCAAAGACCTGAGTAGTGCCAAAGAGTTCCTCCTGACCACCAATGGGAGGAAAAGGATTAAAAACCCCACTGCGTTGAATTTGAAGCACCTACTCTGTACCAGGCACTGGGCTAGGCCCTGGGCCCTCCCTGCCTGCAAAGAGATTCCATTCTGATTGGGGAGATGGACACAGGTTTGAGGGATCTTTTGGTCCAGACACGATTTCATTGATACAGGCGACTCGGGTGAGAAAACGCCCTCTCACTGGTTTGCCAGAATGTAGAGATGCACAGAAGCACCACAAACACCCTTGTGTTTGTAAGAAGCCCCTGAAGACATCCCCCCAGTCCTGGGATCCACAGAACGGCATCCTGGGAGGGACAGGAGCCCAGCAGAAAGGAGAGAGTGCCTGGTGGAGTCTACTACCCTCCTTCCAGAAGGTGGCAAAACTACCCCAAAAGCAAGGGCTAGGCCAAAGTGTCTCTGAATTCTCTGGTGGGAGCCCAGGGAGGACCCTAGTCAGAGCCTGACTCAGGGAAGCCCCAGTGCTGTGGGGTAGGAGGGAGCCCCCAGGCAGAGCCCAGCCCAGAGTCCTTGGAAGGAGTCTTGAGTCTTAGCCACGACACTCAAGAGAGGTCCAGCCCTGCCTATTCCATTCAGTTACTGAGCCAAGTCCAAAGCACCAGCACCTCCCCCAGCCAAGATAGTGAAATGGAAAGGAGGAGGAGATCAAGGAAGACTCCAGATACCCCGAGATCATACCTTGCCTTTAGAGATGCCCAAGAGGCCCTCTTCTGGAGAAGAGTGGAGCAAAGGGCTGGGTGGTTATGGAGGAAGAGGTGGCGGAAAGAGGTGTCCCGTGAAACTCACTTTCACCTGAACTGGGCAAGGGATGGAAACTAAACACAATAACACCCTCACGTTCAGAGATTTCGGTGTAGAAATACATTAAACTGAAAAGAGAAAGAGAAGAGAGCAGGGATGAGGGACAGGGGAGAGGAGTGTCAGAGCAGTGATGAGAGGTAAACAAGCTCAAATTTTAGAGCGAGGTAAGGGGGGATTGTGAAAGGAAGGGAATAATAAAAACCTGCGGGAGGAAGGAAGGGAGGAAAATAAGCCATTTCATTTATAGATCCCACAGGTGAAGCAAATGCCCTCTCTTTAAGCATCTTCCTGTTTATAAAGAGGAACATGGGAGGAAAGGGAGGGTACCTTATCATGACAGGGTGGAGAGAAGTGCACATCTAACAGCCATAACCCTGAATGTGAAAAATGGAAGAGGATGGTAGAATGGGTTAGAAAATAATTTGATAGCATGTTATTTACAAGAAATACACTTCCAACACCAAGATTCACATAAAGCTAAAAGGAGGGATTGGAATAAAATTTATCATGCTTCAGCTGAACTCAAAAAAGCAGGAGTGGCAATCGTGTTTTCAGATAAGGCTAAATAAGCAGCTAGGTAGTGCAGTGGATAGAGCTCTGGCCTTGGAGTCAGGAGGAGCTGAGGTCAAATCCGACCTCAGACACTTAACAGTAACTGTGTGACACTGGGCAAGTCGCTTAACCCCGATTCCCTCACCAAAAAAAAAAAAATAGGTAAGCAGGGAAATGTTGTACTTGAAGGTACCATAGATAACAAGTCAGTGTCAGTACTTAATTGATACACACCTAATGGCATTGCATCTAAATACATATAGAAGTTTTTCAAATTGGAACAAGAAATAAATACTAAAACTGTAATGGTGAGGGCCTTTAATGTATACCAGGCCTACACAATCAGCAACCATACCTTTCAGATCTAGATAAATTAACCAAAAGAAAATAAAGTTAAAAATATTAATAAAACTTCTGAAAATTTAGAGGCGATAGTGCTCTAGCATTTATTGACTGAGAATAGAAAGGAATTTATGTAACTCATGACTATGTAACACCTTTACAAAAATTGACCATGTTTTAGGGCATAAATATAGAAAAGCAGAAATGCTAAATAATATCTACTAGTAATGTAATAAATTCAATAGAAGATCCTTAGAGAGTTAAAAGGTAATTTGAGAATAGTGGCTCAAAGGACAATTACAGTAATAGCTGAGATTTATGTAGCTTTCACTATGTGCTAAGTGCTTTATAGTTCATTTGATCCTCACGATCCTATTATATCCATTTTACAGATGAGGAAACTGAGGCAGAGGTTGTGACTTGTCCAGAATCATATAGTTAATAAGTGTGTAAGCGTGAATTTGAACTTCAGGTCTGCTGCTCTGTATACCTAATTGCTGGGGATGAGGATAAAGATGAGGATGATGGAGAATTTCATCAATGAAAATTAGAATTATGAGACAAAATGCCACAACTTATGGGATGCAACTAAAGCGATTCTTGGGAGGGAAATACATGTCTCTAAACACTTTTAAAAAAGAAAGAACAAATCAGTGAATTGGGCGTGCAATTTTAAAAGCTTGAACAAAATAAAAAATCTCCAACTAAAATAGAAAGTAAAATCTTTGAAAATTAAAGAAGATATCAAATTGAAAGCAAAAACCATAAATTTGATAAAACCGAGCTTTTTAAAAAAGTAATAAACAGCTAATCTGACTAAAAAGTTGAAAACTATATTGTTCCCCGTTAAAAATGAAAAAGGAGAACTCAACAATTGAAGAAATCAAGGGAATTGTTAGAAACAGTTTTGCCCAATTATATGCTAACAAATTGATGACTTAGAGGAAATTAATGAATACTTAGAAAAAATATGAAATGTCCAGAATAACCGAAGAAAAAGGACTTTAAATAATGCAATATGAACTCACAAAGAAATAACTCTAGGTTCAGATGAATTTACAAAGGAATTTTATCACACATTCCAGGAACAATCAATTCCAATTCTACATAAAATGTTTGCAATAAGAAAGCATCCCTTCAATCTCTATGACACCAATATGGTCTTGATACCTAAACCAGGGAGAGATAAGGCAGAGAAAGAAATGTATAGAACAAAATTCCCAAATGAACATCAATTAAAGATTATACACTCTGACCAGATTGAGTTTATACTGGGAATGCACGACTGGTTCAACAAAAGGAATACTATAAACATAAAAAATGTTAACAATATGAAAAAAATAGATCAATGGATGCTGAAAAGGCTTTTGACGAAATGCAACATCCACGTTATTAAAAATTCTAATCGTAGGAATAAATAGGCTTTTCCAGAAGCAACTAGGTGGTACGCTGAATAGAGAATGCTGAGCCAGGAGTAAGGAAGACCTAAATTCAAATCTGACTTCAGACATTTACAAGCTGGGCAAGTCACTTAATTATTGTTTGCCTCAGTTTCCACAACTGTAAAATGGGGAAGATGATAATAGTAACTACTTGCCAGGATTGTTGTGAGGATCAAATAATAGTTGTAAAACATTTAGCATAGTGTCTGGTACATAGTGGATGCCTAGTAAGAGGTTGCTTCCATCTTTCCTTCCTTTCCTCTATACAGTGAATAATATCTAGCTAAAACCAAAAGCAAACATAACATGATGGAGAAGAGTAAGACTTTTTCCAATAAGATAAGGATAAAGCAAGGATGCCAATTATCATGACTATTTAACATAGTGCTAGAAATGCTAGCTCTGGAAGTTAGACTAGAAAGAAATTGAGGGGGGCAGCTAGGTGGCGCAGTGGACAGAGCACCGGCCCTGAAGTCAGGAGGACCTGAGTTCAAATGTGGCCTCAGACCAAACACTTGACATGTAGCTGTGCGACTCTGGGCAAGTCACTTATGCCTTATTGCCTAAAAAAAAAAAAAAAAATTGAGGGAATAAGCTGAGGCAAAAAGGAAACAAAATTACTTTTTTGCCTATGATAATACAGACTTATTCAGAAAATCCTACTGAAGAGTCAACCTTACATGGAACTGGGGAAAAAAATAAAATACCAAATTTTTAAGAAATAAAAGAGTCAACCAAAAACTTAAGTGAAACTCTTAAGTTCAGCAAAATTACAGGATATCAAATATCTTGGAGTTTTTCTACCAAGATGCACCCAGAGACCATATGAATCCAATTATAAAACACACTTTGCACGCATAAAGATATACCTAAATGGAGACACAATATAATAAAAATGACAATACTACCTAAATTAAATTACTTACCCAGCACTATACCAAACCACCAAAGGAGTATTTTATAGAGCTAGAAAAAGTAGTAAAATTCATACAGAGGGAAAAAAGTCAAGAATCTCAAGGGAAATTTTAAAGGGAGGAAGGAAGGTCTATCGGTAGCAGATCCCAACTGAACTACAAAGCAGTATTTTTTTTTTAATACTGGTTTCAAAGAAAACAGAATGGATGCAGAAGATACAAGAAAAAAAAAAAAGCATAGTGTTTGATAAACCCAAAGACTCTGGTAATGGCAGGGTGGGGGTGGGGGGCGGTGGAAACAACGACGTAACAAAATTCCAGGCAAAACTGAATAGCAATCTGGCAGAAATTCATTTTAGAACACCACTTTATGTCATACACTAAAATGTAGTCCATGACCCAGATACAAAAGTTCACTTCATAAGCAAATTAGATGAGCAAGAAAAAAAAGACTTTTCCTACCTTTCCAATGTTATTATACCTCCCACTCTCCTCGTACTCTGGTGATCCAATGACTCGGGCTTCCCTGCTGCTGTTCTTATAGGATCCTCTATCTCCTGGCTCTGGGCATTTTCCCTGGCTGCCCCCGAAGCCTGGAACGCTGTCCCTCCTCCTCGCTGCCTCCAGCTTCCCTGGCTTCCTTCAAGTCTCAGCTAAAACCCCACCATCTACAGGAAGCCTCTCCTGACACCCCTTAATTCTAATAGCCTGCCTTCCCTCTGGAGATCAACTGTATAATCTATAGCATTAACATCACAGAATGTTAGCATGTATATAATACACGTGATGTTTGTACATAGTTCTATAATGCTTTTTTTGAAAATGTGCATTTGTTTCAACAAAATTGATATATTAGGAACAATTTGGCCATAATATAAATTCTGTGTTGTTTGTGCACAATTTCATTTGCAAGAAACAAACAGTGAGAGAAAACAGGTAGCAGCACCACTTCACAATAATATACGAGCTTTGGACTTTCCAACACCCAAACAAACTTCAGGTGTTTTTTAAGGCAAAGTGCCTTAGTGAGTGCAAACTTTCTGGTGCAGTAGGAGGGGAGCCAGGCCAACCCATGTCTTCCACTAAGTATCATACTCCTGGCCCTAGTTCCAGCCCACTGAGGATGCCCTCTCGAACCTGGGCCACAGGCCAAGCAGCAGCCAGAGACCTCAGACACCACCACTATTTACGGATTTCTTTTTTTTTTTTTTTTTTTGGTGAGGCAATCGGGGTAATTGACTTGCCCAGGGTCATACTGCTAGTGTCACATGTCTGAGGTTGGATTTGAACTCAGGTCCTCCGGACTCCAAGGCCAGAGCTTTATCCACTGCGCCACCTAGCTACCCCATTTACATATTTCTTTACTACTTAATATGTGTAAGATTATGTTACCATTCTTATTAGGTTCTTATCTGTTTATATATCACTGATGAAGTTTTTGTGTTTTGTGCCCCTAAAGCCATTTCTGCCCATAAGCTCTGTGATTTTTACTGCAAGATTGTGTACAATTCAGTGATAACATGTCCTGTCAGGGCAGAACTGACTGTAGTTACTTACATGTTGTCTCTCCCATTATATTGTCAACACCTTGAAAGCAAGAATTCTTTTGCATTTCTTTGTATCCCATCACCACAGGAAGGAGTGAAAATGCAGCCAGGACTGAAAAGGAGGGCCCAGGAGGCTGTAGCATCAGGCAGGACCCAGGTCTCAGTGATGGCCGAAAGATGGGAAGAGTGAGAGAGGAAAAGATGTAAGATGAAGGCAGCTTTGTTGCCTGTGAAGCAAGCATTCCAGAGGGCACAGTAGAAGGAGTGAATTGTGGGTGGGAGGCTTAAAGGGGATGGGAATAAGGAATCCAGGGGTGGGGGATAGGAAATGGGATTGAGAATCACTGGAATGAGTACCAGGTATGAGTACATTGATCTCTAAATGAAGGCACTGCTTCTCCCAGGGGAGGCTGGGGATCAGGCAGGAGATGAGCTGGACGGGTTGGTAGGCACACAGTCAAATGGGAGGTGTGTCATGATGGGCGGCACTGAACAGTGCCTTTGATGGTCCAGGATCTAAATCTGGCCCTCGTTTTATAAATGAAGAGGAAGCTGAGATTCAGAGAGGGGACATGATTAGGAAAGTAGGAATGCCATGGGGAGAAACAGAAAAGTTGGGAGGATGAGTTAAGTTTAGAGGACAAAGGTGGTGACTTCAAGAATGACCAAGTCTAGGGCTCAGGGTTGGAACTGGGCACAGAATTGAGAGAGGCCCTGAAACTCCCCAAGGGAGAACAGAGGAGAGACCCTGGTGGGGGGAAGGGAGGTCTGGAAGGGCTGAGGATTTGCAGAGAGTATGAAGAGGAAGCGGAGGGAATAGTCAGAGACAGGAGGAAAGCCAGGGGAGGGTGGTGCTGGAGAAGGCCCTCTCTGACAAGATGGCGGCTGAAGCTTGGGCCCAGCCTCACCCCAGCGCCCTCCCCTCTGCCGGGGTTGCCAGGCACCAGTCTTGGCCCCAAACACAAACAGGAGGCCTTGGAGACCCAGCCTGGCCCAGGCAGCAGCCCCTGGGCTCAGCCTAGTAACCAGGCCCCACCCAGGGTGGCCATATCAGGCCTGGCCCCTTCCAACACACTCTGTCTTCCCTGGCCTCCCCACCCCGTCTGTCTCTGCCTCTGCTTTCTCCCTCCTGTCTGGCTATTCCTTCTTCGTTTCGCAGTCTTCCAGTGTGCAGGTTCTGTGGGTCTGTGAATCTTGGCTGCTGTCTCTCTGTCTCTCTCCCTGCCTCTGTGTGTGTCTCTCCTTGCCTCTGTCTGTCTCTGTCCCTCTCTCTGCCTCTGTGTGTGTCTCTCCTTGCCTCTGTCTGTCTCTGTCTCTCCTGCCTCTGTGTGTCTCTCCTTGTCTCTGTC